TGACAATATGGTTGGTTTACAACACGATATCTCTTTGTACTTTACGTCACTCAAGCTTATATTACATTTGAGAACAATTTTCAATAAGTTTCGTTCTGGAACGGTATTTATTTTCCTCATTGAACGACGCTTAAAGTGAACAGCTCTTTAAGAGATATGGAAAGCCGCACGTGGCTGCCTCTCGTTGTGGACGTCTGTGGCATCGATCTTACAATGAAAGTTTGAGTATGTAAAGCCACTGTTGGACAGTTTAATCGTTCAGCTACAATTAATGATAGTTGTGTTTGCTCAACCATTCGCCTTTCATGAGAACCTCAAGTGTGATAGATCAAATGCGCCAACAGGTATCAGACTCCCGGAGTTATTATCGAACTAGAACCATTTATCACGACAGATTACGTGTTAAGAATGTCAAATCAATAATCTCTACCATCTTTCACGTGTCTTGAGCGGTGAGCACAACTAGAAGAAAGCTCTAGCATGGATTTTGAATCATCGTATCCCAAAAATTCAAATCATAAGCACAAAGGAAAGACACATTTTTTTCGAACATGATATGATTTGTTAAAATAGGGTTAAGAGGTCGGCGAAACGTTTAAATAGGAAGTTGTACTTCGAAATCTCCTTGGTTATCCAAGTGGCTGACTATAGTGATGATGATGGTGTAGCTGTTTTTAAATTTTTGTCAGTTAGTCACTTGTCAGTAAGACTTTTCCAAAACTACTCCAAATAGGCATGTAATGAACGCGAATGAATACTGATTACCTAATTGATAATCTGCGTTCAATTATTTATTGCTACTGATTATCCTTCAGACTTCAATTTAAAGCAATACCATTCATTTCATCCAGTCACTTATAAACTAAGAAATGAGTAGTATAGTCGAGCTGGGCTCAAATTAAAGCTTTCCAGTGATGCACTATATGCCTGTCTGTTCAGCAGAGAAACTCCGATCGAGCGCATGGAAGGCAAGCAAGCTAATAGTGTACCAAATACCGAAAACCGGGGAATAATAACATGCGGATTCCGTCCTTCGGTAGATGTCATCTTTAAGGGTAGTCAGTCAGTTATTGATCCAACACGTGCAAACGGAGAAACATTGTGCGACCTGTCGGTTGGAAACGAAAAATCAATTTACCCCTAGTCTTGTTTCCATTGGTTCTCGTTCTACAAAACTTCCGTGTGCCGTGATATACTTGTCATACTACAGTAAACCAAACTGGGGTGAAGTGTGTACTAATTGATTTACGGGGAACCATTCCGCAGTTAAGATGCGCTCCGGTGGTTAGAAAGCTCATCGATACAGTAGATTAGTTCAAGGGATGAATGGATTTCTGGTACAGAGGCACTGAACCACACAACTGGTAAGCCGCATCGGGCAAGACAAGTTTATTGTTGCAGATGGAATCTAGTCATTTCCTATGATGTTCAGTGCTTCAGTGCTACTTCACTTAAATGTGGGAAGTTCTGAGACCTAAAAAGAAACATGTGTTTCCATGGTTCCAACTTTATCCTGTAAAGTGTATTTTTCGTGCAAATTTGTACCAAAGACGGATATGATTTTAAAATACAAAACAGGTTGATGAGCATAATTGAGTGGCCTAACCATCCGACCACGGGGCACAGTCCAAGTCATGACTTACCCTTGCATATTCAAATTTTCAATGAGGTCCTGNTGCAGGCTCAGGAGAAATTCGTTTAGTCTTTCGATTGTATTCGGTCGAATGACAGTCGATGAACGAGAGTTTGATATGTCCGTGGATTGTTTCTGTGCGTGATAAATGAGAAATCAAAATAGGGTAAAATCGACGGATAATTTCGCTTTTATTTGGTTATCGCGTAATCACTTCCAATGACATCATCAACCTTTCCAACCACCCACCCACCCCTCCCGCCCCACCCCTTTGGAGCATGCACTATGGTAAAACCATTTATAGATTTATGTTTAAATAATGCACATCACTGAGTTCATTTGTTCTAATTAATTGAGTTAATCTACAGCTGTAGGTGGTGATGGCGCAGTGGTTTGCTCGCTGTCACCGGCGTACTTTGGACCCTATGGTCCGGGGTTCGAGCCCCGCCACCGCCACTCGACTTTGGTGGTACGCATCTTTGCTGTCGTCCGGTTCAATACCACGCCTAACCTATCGGGGCCTTATGTGGTTCGCCACTCCAAGTTCCGAGGCTTAGGTTGCCGATTTCAACCACTGAACAGCAGGTCCGCGTGACTATGGGGTTTACCCCGTCTTCTTTTCATCACACCTAGATGTGAAATTAAAAAAAGGCGACAATGCGCTTTTATCAATTTGTAAACACATTCGAGCTGAAACGTGTTACACAAAAGAAGAAGATACCCAGACTCGCACTGCATAGATGAGATCCACCTAGATCGAAACAGGTGTACAGTGCTTCTGCATGGTCGACTTGTGTTTCGCCAAATGAGTTGAGCGTATAGAACTTTACATAAACTCTGGTAGAGAATACTTCAAAACAGTTTGCTCAGCCCTCGTAAAGCTGACTAGTTCATGTGACTAAATTTGTACCGATCAACTTGTGCAGGACCGGCTTTTATGTATATCTATGCCTGAAATCAAATCATACAACAATGCACTCAGTGAATCTGTTTGATAGGAGAATAGATTGGTCACTGGGGATTACCAACTGATCAATACTGAATTGATTGCGAAATATTTTAGTGGATTTCGGCCGTGTGATGGTTTCACATTTCATACAAATCTCGTTGGACCGGGAGGGAAGATAAGGTCAAGTAGTGATAGGAATCAAGTTGCCGATCAACTTCTGTATGCTATCATTAATGCAACCAAACCACAACTATTGACTCTGACCGATATGTCGAAAGGAAAATAGCTACATGTATTGATCAAACTCGTGCAACATGACTTCTATTTTTTTTCAAATACATTTCAGTTACTGGTATCATGTACGTGCTATGGGCGAAAAGTATTTATTTCGAACTTCCTTTTTCTCACTGCAATGGTTCTGGTACTCACCTTTTTGTCGACCTTGAGTGTCACGGGATAAAACTGGTAGCAATAGTTCGAAAGCTACAGTTCAGAATTAAATACTATTTTATGCAAAGCAGCTTGAAAGTGTAATCTTTCTATAGAAAAAAATCCTGCTTTATGAGAATAATTTATTCTGGTCCATATACGTGTTCTAAATGATTTATACTATTTTATTCAGTGCACCATAAATAATAAGCCCATCAATAAAAAATTTCTACTTTATATAAATTGAAAATCTTTTTAAATACAAACTACGAAATATCACGTTATCCGTCCAGTTGACTTTAAGTTAATCTCACCGATGGTCAAGCAAGGATCAGTAGAGCAGTCGAAAAAAGCCCATCTACTGACCGAGTTTTCCAATAAATTTCACTTCCGTTGTTAACGGAAGTAAATATCCACTACAACTCAAGTCAAATCAAGTCAGTAGTAGCTTTATGCACTCGGGTACTGATGATAATGATCTGAAAGAGAAATAAACACTGAGCGCGTCGTCCTTGTTGTTCTCCCGTACGCAAAATTTGTTGCACTGATGAGGCCGATTTTCGATAATTGTCACACTCTCTCGAAATTTATCTGCCAAAGTCATTTTTTTCCCATATAAAGTATAGTCTATCATCTCGTGCGAGATTGGTCGTGAAAAAAACCGTTCAAGCTTATTGAATCTTGATTTTTTCCACATTTATCCAATTTCTGAATGGGCTAAGTTCCATCTCGAATTCATTCAATCGGGATTTGTATCCAATCGAAAACTATTTCCGATGTGTTAGAAAAATATGAACAGGTTAGCTGCCTCGACAGTAGTTTTCAGTGGTCAGGAGGCTGCACAAATTATAGGAAACGGGCAGAAGCTGTCGGACAATCAACCTAGTGGACTCTATAAAAAAAAGACTGACTCCAATGCTCTCAAATAGAGAAGAGGAAATCGAACATTGACCAAATTAAAAATACAATACCGTGCCTGTGAGTCAGTTTATCTTTTAAATTACTATTGTTTTTTTACTGGGGTGTTGTTATCTTACGACTGATGCATCAATAACCGTCGTCGAAATCGAGAAATCGTACACTTTAATAGAATCGAACTAATAAAGCCAATGTGGGTCAATAGCATATCAAGACCCGTGAATGAGGCTCGAGGCAACTACGCGCTGGGAGGCACCAATGCGATGAAAACCGATTAGTTGCCGGTATTTCTAACAATGAATCAACCCGTCCTTGCTACCGAAATACCCCGATTTTTCTGTTTCTTTTCTGGATAAAACTTTTTGCTGGCTACATTATCATTTGTTTTTGTATTTTTGTAACTTGCGTGAGCTGATATGCTTATATTTCCGTTAAAAAATGCACGCGGAATGAATAATACAGTTTGGTTAAACATGCAAGGCGAAGAATGTCCGTGAAGTTTGTTTTATTTACAAAACTTCTGATGCAGTTCACTCGGGAACTGGCCTTTTTTGGTTAGGAGTCAGGCCAGACAGGGTATAGGGGAATTTTTATAAATGTTAATGCGAGAGAGTAGATGTTGAAATGAGGGGCGTGTGGACGGATGGGAACGACAAGACGATAGATCAGACTGCAGTGGATGAACAGGGTCATCAAGAATCTTATGAGCAAATTTATAACAAGAGTTGATGTGACCATCAATGAGCTCTGTGATTATTGAATCGATCAGGATTAGTGATGCACGATGGATGATCACCAAACCACGGTGAATTATTTAGAAGTCTTGTTTTAAAAGACCGGGAAACACTACAGGGGAGGAATAAAGTAGAATGGGTAAAACGCATTGATGAACGAAAGATGACAAGACTGACTGTGGGGTTCGGAATGACCTGATAGTGCGTAACTGAAAACAGGGACGTCTCAGCTTTCCCATAGAATTTTAAATGTGTGTGGACCAATGAAGTTTACTGTCAATGGTGACACCCAGGTACTTGACTGAGAACATTCTGGTTTACAGTTAAAGGTAACAGAGTCCGTTGGAAATCAACAACGAGAAAGACTGAAAATAGACCCTATGCACTTAAGATATATTAACACTGAAACCAGATTGATGGGAAAATTGTTGAATGTGAGATAGATTTTCCGTGAACTAATCAAATTCCGAAAGAGACGAAATTTTCGGGCATGAAACGACGTCATCGGCAAACGCTCACAGGTGTGCAGGGGATGAGACCGAAAGATTAATATTAAAAGAAGAAAAATATTTTGGAGATAGAACAGCACCTTGAAGAACACACTAGACCCCCTCTGTGAAATATTCAGCAAGCTGTGAGAATAGCTAGAGTGACAAAAGATTCAAGTTGCAAAAGAAGGTATGATATTGATCAGTGTTTTATATGGTATTCTCGTGCATTAAGCCTCAAGCGTGATCCAAAACAAACCTGATGCCGAGCCTACTCAATATAGCATGAAATAGAGCGACCCAAGTAGTCACGTGCCACTTGAAATATTGATCGGTTTCAACCGTGATGCAATCCACTTCGCTTTTGACTTCCCATCATATAAGCAATACATTTTCATGCGCTATTTTACATTCAGAAAATGAGTTCTAAGCGAGTGAAAACAAAATTAAAGTCTCAAATCTTTGTGTGAAAATGAACGTACAAATAAATAAACTCATAACTTTATTTTTCACCATTTGTGTTTCTCAATTTATATAACCATTATTATTATTAGTATTAGTTGAAATCGTTACCGTTGAACCTAGCCCTGGAACATCATTTGAAGGTCGTTGAACCTCAAACTTCAAACGCTTTTTCTGTCAGATAAATCTGGGTACAATTAATGGCTACCAGTGGCCATGTTTGTCGATGAGACGTACCAAGTCTCCCAGATGTCCGGAAACTTCGCTGTTTTATTCTATGGAGTGTTCTCTCTCAATTCACTAATTGTTGGTTCTTAATAGGGTTTAGGAGCTCGTTTATTTTCCGTACCCCGGTTTGCATCGATTCGCAAAGTACCCCCGAAATGAGTTTTAACACAGCGTATAGGTAGGTTTGATGATTTACAAATCTGTTTTGAGCCAAAGAGGCTTTCATCATCATCATCATCATCACCATCATCATCATCATCATCATCATCATCATCATCGTTATTGTTCAGAGTATTACAGTGAAACAAACTTCACTGATTGCTGCCAAATGCGCAGTGCATGCAAGTGGAGTGAGGATATGTTAAGATGACAGGAATTGGGCCTATTTTTGAGGACGGTAAAAGAAAGCGAACCTTTTCGGTCAACACACATAGTACACAGTCCAGCAGCGCATACATACTATTCTGATCTGATTTGAAGGAACAGAATGATCGCCATCGCAGTCGGTTCGCAGGCATGACCGTCAGTGTCTCCAACCATGCGGTTTTGGAGTCTTTTGAACCCTAACCCGGAAGACGAGAGACATGCACTCTACCTAATCGCTCTGTAAATTTCTTCATGCCTCGTCTGCACGTCATCTGCTGGCCTCCACGTGACTGTCTCCAGCCAATGCAAACAAGGCGCGCTGCGGTAGACGACCGTCCTAACCAACGGAGTCTACTGAGCCGAATTCGATGCGATAGCAAGCTCACGTTTGATGCATTCCAAAACACCGGACGACTTACTT